TGGAGCTTCTGACTACTTTCGTGCGTGTTTTGCCGTGGTTCTGGAGCGGGCTAACCCCGAGCTGGGCAGGCACCCCGAGTGTCCACGTCCACGGCTTCCCCCGCCCCCCGCCCACCAGGCCCGATGAGCTGCCGCTTTTCTAAAACTCACACCGCCGCCCGAGCCCTGCCTTGCCTTCCTCCTCCCGTGGGACAAGGGGGCGCCCGCGTCCTGGCCCATCTGCGTCTCCTTGGGGGAGAGTGGGCTGCTGTGAGGACCCGCCCATTCTGTGTGGAGCAGGGGGGACCCCTGGGCTCACGGCCGTCAGGTCCGTGGGCACTGTGTCTGCTGGGGCCACCGTGCGTGTCCATGGCTGGGCCTTGGGCCGATGGGAGGGGCCCAGTGTCCGTTTGCCGGCCTCAGTCTCAGATGAGTCGTGGAAGCCAGCGGGGCCAGCTCGCCCTCTGCCTGGGTCCCTAGTCACAGTCCGCGTGTCACGGCCAGGGCCAGGCACAGCCAGCATGGCCGTTTGTCTGACCTAGACCCTGTGGCCTCAGGAAGTTACTGGATTCTGGAGGCCCAGGCCTGGCCTCAGGGGACCTGGCTTCTCTGCACGGTCCTGGGTCTGCGGCTGGGGTCGAGCCAGGGGCCTGAGGCGTCATGCTCAGAGTCTCGGCCCCTGGGTGGTGGGCGGGCTGCCATGCAGCCCGCCGGGGCTCCGCGGACGGTTGAACCCATCCCCCCAGTGCAAACGCACCTCGAGAGCCAGGCTCCCGGCCGGTCCAGCCGGCTGGTTCAGCTGCTGGTCTCTCTCCTGGGGGCCCTGGGAGGCAGGCGGCCAGGGCCTCGCTCGCCACCCCGATCCCTCTGCCCCCCGCAGTGTGAGTGCTGGCTTCGCAGTCCAGCGGTGCCCCTCCCGTGTGTCCCCTGCAGGTGGCGGTGGGAAGGCCAAAGTTTCTGGCAGACCCAGCAGCAGGAAAGCCAAGTCCCCAGCCCCGGGCCTGGCGTCCGGGGACCGGCCGCCCTCCGTCTCCTCGGTGCACTCGGAGGGAGACTGCAACCGCCGGACGCCGCTGACCAGCCGCGTGTGGGAGGACCGGCCCTCGTCTGCAGGTGGGCGGCGGGGCGCACTCGGGCAGAGCCCACGTGTCACCGTGCTCGGCGGACACCTTGGGCCTGGCCGGCCGCCCGAGCGCCTCGCATGTGGGGAGCACATGGTCAGGCCTGTCCTAGAGAACTAGTTGCCCCGCGGCCTGGCCGGCTGAGCCCTGGCCCACAGATGGTCAGGACGCTTCCGACGCGGGCCGGGGAGAGGGGAGGGGGTGCAAGGAGGCCCGTCCATGGAAGCCGCCTCCGCCCGCCCGGGCCTGGAAGGACGCAGAAAGTGGGCAGAGGGGCGTGGGCAGGGCTCTGTTCCACGGGCGTGGCGGGCGTGTCTGGAGGTTTGAGTGGGAGGCCTGGGATCTGGTGCCACTTCCGGTCTGCAGGCTGCAGAGCAGGCTTGGGCAGGGCAGGAAAGCCAGGTGACTGAGGGGTGAGGGGTGGGGGGTGGGGGATGGGGTTGCGAGAGGCGGGCAGTTTGGAGAAACCTTCTTGGAGTTAGAAGGGGCTGGGGTAACTGCCAGACACCAAGGCTGAGGCCCCGGTTTGTGGCGTGGAGGGTGGGTGGTCCCCTGGGGGCTGTCAGGCTCACTGGGGCCTCCTGATGTCCCCCGGTCTTTCCGGCAGGGTCCACGCCGTTCCCCTACAACCCTCTGATCATGCGGCTGCAGGCGGGCGTCATGGCCTCGCCACCCCC